AGGTAGGGTAATGTAATGTCCGTTTAAGGGAACGTTCATTATTTATGGCTTTTGTTACATTTTATTTTTTTATCATTTATTTATTTTTTATTTATTTATTTATTTATTCACTGTGATGCTTCAGAAATGTTAGGGTAATGTAATGTCCATTTAAGGGAACGTTCATTATTTATGGCTTTTGTTACATTTTTTTTTTTTATCATTTATTTATTTTTTTTTTATTTATTTTTTATTTATTTATTTATTTATTCATTGTGATGCTTCAGAAAAATTAGGGTAATGTAATGTCCATTTAAGGGAACGTTCATTATTTATGGCTTTTGTTACATTTTATTTATCTATCTATCTATCTATCTATCTATCTATACCCCTGTGCATTAATTAGGCACCACCCTATTTTGAAAATAAGATGTTGATGCTTCAGAAAAGTTAGGGTATAGCCATCAATTTAATCAACCTGTAGTTAAAAAAGCTTTATCCACTGACAGTTTTACAGATACCATAACCTTTTCTATTCTTTATGAAAGAATATGTTGATTAAAATGTGATTGGACTGAAATTTTACACAAAATAATTATTCCTCTCCTGCTCAAACTACACAATTGAATTACGCTTTGACTAAGAATAACAATTCTGTTATATACCAAGATGAAATTTACACATCAAGTAAGCTTTAATTACGATAATCAGGAAGAACCGAATGTCAAAGATTCAGACATCTTTCCAACAATTCAGATTGCTAATTGACAAAACTGAAAAGGCCACATTAATAAGATTTTGGAATAAATGTTTTATGATTTTGAGTTTATTGTAATGAATAAACACTTCCCCTTGCCGGATACTGATAATTACAGCTAAAATCTTTTCGTTTTGTTTGTAAAGCAACTTTTAATGCATTTTAAAATTTGCCTTTTTTTTAAGTTTGACTGTAACTTATTCTAAATCTTAGTTTACAAACTTTCATCCATTCACAATAAATAACGAATGTATAGGCCACACAACAATCAATTATTACTTTCAATTTTCAAACACCTGTTTTTAATATGGGCAATTATCCTAATCAAAATTCAATGATGTTTTCGTTTTTGAAATGTTAAATGCTTGCTCTATCAAATCATAAAGGTTATTTTTGGAAAGAGTTGAGAATTTTATTTCAGACGAAATTAATTGGTAGAAATAGAGGGTGGTGCTTGTTTTATGCACAGATGTTTATTTATTTATTTATTTGTTTATTTATTTAGATTGATTGATTGATTGATTGATTGATTTATTTTGAGAGGGGTGGGGTGGTGATGATTTTAAGGGAGGGGTCACCCATTTCTTCTGGGAGGTAGGGTAGTCGTCCATTTTGTACACATGTACTGGCAGGGCAGCAATTTTGTACATAATTATATTTAAATTATAAATATACAAATTAATGTGAAGGGGAGGGAGGGGAGGGGGGCATAATTAGTATTTGTGTACATGGGAGGGGGTCACTTTGTACATAAATTTTAAGTTACACAGATTGTACATGCTTCTCCATAAAAAATGATCAAACTCCTCTCCCCTCCCCTTGTGATTTTGTTGGACTTAAGGTTGTACTGCCAAAAGAAAATTAGCTTGCTAATGCTATTATTATCTCATTGAAACTGACTGTTGCTATTTTTAATAAGCATAAAACATTAACTGAGTTAATGTATCTCGTTGATGTATAACACAGTTTCCTAAATATGACCAAATATTGTGATGCAGGTACATGATATACATGTATGGTAGTTCACCTTGTCCAAGCATCGCTCACAATGGTACAAGAATCTTATCAAACGCGTACAACTTATAAAATAAAAGAAGTTGTTATCCATAAAAATTGTTCAATATAAATAAAAACACTTCTATCTTTTGTACTTCAGAGCAGCCACATATTACCTCGAGAGGTTAACCGGAATGCAAATCAACAGAATATGATACTGACCAAGTACCAGGAAGAGGTGTCCCCATCACTGTAGATGACAAGTGATGACAGTTATCTTGATGGACTACAGAATGATTCAAGTGCATTCATTATGCAGTTTTACTGATTTGTTTGATGTATTTTGATAATTGTTCTGGCATTCTGATGTCAGCTGAGTAACACCTCCATAATGGAGACAAATTAAGGAACTTCTGTTTTGAAGCAGTAAAATAGTCTCAGCAAGAATTTTTATTTATTTTGCCAGCAGAACAGAAGTTTCCATTAATTTTCCCACACAAACATTTTGTGCTTTTCTGTTCCCCATTTGTGCTTATTGTCCTGCTGAACAATTGGACCACCTTTTCAGTGACATTTTTTTTACACGATTTTTTTACATGATTTGATATAGTTTGATGGTTTGATATTAGTATATGTGGCATGTAGTAAACTATGGAATACTAAAGTTATGCCATATTTCTTGTATTTCATGATACTGGCTGTTATATTACTTTTGTGATAGTTAGTACTTAATTAAGGCTGCACATACTGGCAACTAAGTCTCTGCATGTCTGCCATGGAAGGCATGTAAAACTGTTGCCCTTTGCCAGAACGAAGAAAGTTTTATATGTGTAATTCATGATATGTGAATAATGTCTGACATGTGATGTTACATCTAAATATTTAATGTGTATGCCTGTTAGTCTTAGAAAAAAGAGAATTACCCCATCTTGAAATATTCAGCTTTGTCAGTTTTTGTTGCTCCAGATTTTGCCATATTTTGTTTCTGGAGGACATTTTGTGAAATGTAGTTACCTATCATGAGTTCATGCCAAATCATTTGATAAAGGTAATAATTTATAAACAAGATGTGCAGCCCACTGAAACAGTGTTGTTTCCACAATGACTACAACACAAAGATTAATGAGATTATTCTTCATTAGTCCCGGGGAATTGTTTTGGTAAAATGTTCATGTCACAAGACAACACAGGTTCTAAGAAGGAATTCACACATGCATAATTAAACATGACATGTGCCTTCTCCTTTCAAATGGATACCCTGTTCTTTGAAGGTTTTGGTCATGATCATTAAAGTTGATGTCAGTGTTCATGTAACTGTAAAACATGTTTCACTTATTATTACTCATATATAATGCAAGGTATTCCTTATTTTCATGTCTGGTTATAATTACTGCCATGTTTAATGTTAGTGCTATGTCAACATTCAAGGTGACATTTGAGGTGATTGTGAGTGAGTATGGCTTCTGTTTATGAAAGTATTTTCAAATAGCTACCTTGGTTTGTTTACTAGTTTATATTTTCACAAATATGATGGGTGTAATGTTCAATGCCATATACATGTAACCTCCATGTATTTACACATTTCACATTGGTGAGCCAATGGCATTACTTCAATTGTTTGTAAGAGTCTTTTCAACAGACATAAAGATATGAGTGTGAACCAACTTAATGAGTTCGGTACTACATATAATTACATTTCATAGTATTCTTCTAGCCTGTCCCATTTCAAGACAGGCTGCTCTGTATTTTAGTAATAAAACATCCTTAACAAAACTCATTTTTTTTGGTCATTTTATGGGGAAATCTAACAATGGTCAGTTTTTATCTGGTCAGCTGATGCTCTACAACATTTCTGAACACACAAACAACTAACACCATGCATGTTTTGATGGATGTCTATACTTGGACAGAAACAGTCCACTGTGACATGTTCACCTTGCACATGCTTGTCTATGTTCAGCTGCATAAACTTATGTGACGCCACAGGCATTGATTTGACTCCCTACCCCAATGCAAATATATAAAGTTGATGCCCTTGATTGGGATGTGACTGGTATGATACTGATAGAGGCATCATAACCAACTATCTCCCATTTCACACTATTTCAAAGATGTCCCAAATGTTTAAACTTAAAAATCACATAACACATTTGCATCTTTTACCTTTAGTAAACTGTGCTAAAGGTGTCCTGTATACATTGCTTCTCATGCATACTGTATAAGCACACATATATTTCAAGTTTAGACTAGACCAATTCTATTTCTTGTTTTATATATCCTCCAGTTGTATTTTTCAAGAATAATTTAAAAGAAATAAAAGTGAATTTTCCCCACTCAAAAAATAAAATCCTAATGTTTTTATTGGTCAAAAATGTAAACTTACATGAAATTCTTCTGAGGACAAAAATATGTAAAACAAGAAATACATTGGTCTGGCCTTATTGATAACAGGGATACTCTACAACATATCCTTATAGAGTCTCCCTGTTGATAAAGAACATGGCACATAACCCAAGAATCGATTACCAAACACCAAATTCAGTTCCAACAGGGAAGACCTGCAGACAACCCTCCACACTGCTAAAAGACTGAGTATGGGATTACACCACTTTTAGCAATATTCCAATATTATGGCAGAAGACACCAGAAATGGACTTGAAACATTGTACCGATGTGGGGAATCGAACCGGGCCTTCGGCATGATGAGAGATCACTTTAACCATTAGGCTACCCCCACCCCACCTAAAAGAGTAGAATTCACACTCTCTCAAATTTTCTAAAGTTACACACTCACCCTGTGTGCATAGTGGTAACAAAAGAGGCTCTGTCATGAGGAAGATGTATTATATATTTATTCTACAGTTTATCAATGTACTGATTGATTAAAGTAAAGTGGAATTATGACTTGACAGATTGATCAACAATCATGTAGAATGTGGGTGACACATAAGAATCCCTTCCTCTGGCAAACTCTTTGAGAAAATGATACATATGAGAGGAGTGAGAGTGAGAGTGAGAGAGAGAGAGAGTGAGAGTGAGAGAGAGAGAGAGAGAGAGAGAGAGAGAGAGAGAGAGAGAGAGAGAGAGAGAGAGAGAGAGAGAGAGAGAGAGAGAGACCGACCGACCCGACCGACCGACCGGGACCAACCGACCGAATCAACCGACCGACCGATCGACCGACCGACCGACCGGAGACCGACCGACCGACAGACCGACCGACCCCGCGGCCTCATATTATACTTGGAAGAACAGATAGAGGATACAGTACCTTCAATCCATGCTTTCATTCTCCATAGTAAACTTGCATCCTCAGGTCCATCCAGATCTGAAAATGGTGCGTCACATGCTGGACGCACCACCAAAGTATTTCCAAGCTTTATATGGAGCATGCGATTTCGGTTTGAGATCAGCATTGTAATTAATGAATAAAAAATCAATTTTCAATAGAAGTTATCTGATATACGAGGGCGCATTACCACTCCCTACAATGTAAGTGTGTTGGGCGGCCACGGTATGATTGCGTAATTAATACGTTTACGTACAAAACGGCTCAACCCGCCATTACTCAGAATGTGCCGAACGACACGCATGATATAGACAATCAGAGGAGCTATTGTGTAAATGTACATACCAAGGGCAGATTCCTTGAGTGCATTGCTGGTCCTCAACAGTTCCACAAGGTGGTAAAAGTATAGTTGACTGGAAACCATTGCGTTGAGGCCGGAGTACGCCTTGGGTAAAAGTTGTGTCAGAATTGAATAGGCCTGACGTCACACATGGAAATCATATCATGAATCAAAGCGCGTCAGTACCAAGATATAACAGTACTGAAACTGTCATTCGAGACCCACTCGTGTTATTTCTAAACAAGCTGAATAGCGACTCGTGCCAATGTAGAAAGCTTTCATGTTGGCGTACGAACTACTTGAAACATGAACGATAACTCTATTTATGTAATTCCGTTAGTTTAACACTCGCATGCTACTGTATTTCATGAACGAATTAAACCACTATATTAACTACAACTACAATGATGATGATAATTTGTTGAAAAGGTTTCTCCCGTAATCATTCTCAGCTGTTCGTGTTTTATTTCGAAATGTATATATCTTCATAATGTATTAACGTTAAAAACGTAAAACATGTCTATTCATGATCAGTGATAATAAATTCTTGCAAACTTCCTTGACATTTGCGAATCCCAGATTCAGGTAATATTTCAAATATAATAAGTCCAAATACAGGAACCCGTTTGCCAACAAAAGGTCATATATACTCACCAACATTGGAAACGCACCTGTCTAAAATTGTCCATATTTTCATCAAGGTGGATTTCAGCATGACAATGATCAACGAATATGACTAACCTGACGTCGAAGGGCATGTCTAGTCGCAAAAATGTTTAGAAGCAAATTCCTGTTCATAGTATGGCTCTTAATTCCAAAACGCATCAACATGCAACCACGACATGAAAAAAGCGCGAATTTTATTCTGAAATCATGCTGACTGTGACATTAAAGGCAGGTTTATGAGAAACGATTCTCATTGCTTCACTAACGATTGTGAAACGAGGACAGAGATGCCAAGGTTAACACCTCACGACAGAGAAGGCATGATTCAGGTTGGCACCACCAGCAGAGATATTGCTCCACAACTTAGACTTAGCCACTCTACCGTCGTTAGGCTTCATAGACGACATCAGCAGACAGGCAGCACCCGTGACCTTCCATGACCTTGGCAACAACGTGTTACGACGCTCCATCAAGATCGCCATATTGACCTTGTCCATATCAGTGATCGAACACTGCCAACTGCCAGGACTGCTGCACAATTTCAAGGCCGACACCATGCGACGCCGTCTACACGCTACAGGGCTCCATGCTCGACGTCCTTACGTTGGACAAATTCTTACTGACAGACACCGTAATGAGCGTATACAATGGGCTAACAGGCATGTTCAGTAAAGTTTACAACAATGGCATGGTGTGGTAGTCACTGACGGGTCACGTCTTCATTTACGTAATGCTGACGGCCGATTACGTGTTTGGCGTAGACGTGGTGAACGTTATGTTGATGAGTGTGTGGTTCAGACAGACCGTTGGGGTGGTGGGAGTGTCACGGTCTGGGGTGGAATAAATTACAATCACAGGACTGCCTTCATGTCTGTCAAGGGAGAGTCAATGCCCTTTATTACCATGACCAGATTCTTTAGAATCACATCGTATCGTTCTTCAATCGCCACCAAGATGTCCATACTTTTCAACAGGACAACGCACGGGCACACGCAGCGAGACTTTCCATGCAGTATCTGGCCCAGCAACACATCCAGGTTATTCATTGGCCAGCACAGTCGCCAGATGTATCCCCCATGGAGCACTTGTGGGACGAAGTTGGTCAAAGTCTTTCGCGGCGACAACAGGTGCGAAACATCCGGGAACTTGAGGCTGCACTACTGCAGAAGTGGAATGCCATCCTCCAGGGTGCCGTTGTACAAAACAACCTTAGCGCTAAGACTACCTTAAGTCTATGTTAAGGTATGGGAGTTACGGTCACCTTAGCGCTAAGATCGCTTTGTACAACGGCACCCAGATCTCTATTCGGATGCTTTTTGACTCAATGAGGAGACGTTGCACTGCATGTGTCAATGCAAATGGCGTTCACACGCGATATTGACTTTTCGATTTGACCCCACGTGTGTTTGATCCTTTCTGACTGTGGAACAATTAAATGAATGAGCGTCTTTTCTGTGTTGTTGTTTTTGTCAGTCGTCCATCTGTTATTATCCACTCAAAAAATATCAATTCCTTACACGTGCTTTTAGTAATCTGAACATTTGTAAGTGGTGCGTTTTCAATGTCGGTGGGTATATTAGCATCCAGTTTGGCTATCTACATCTTTTAGATGTACTCATATTCATATAAACCAATTCTGTCAACATTCATATTTTGTGAGTTTTTTTCCGTACACATACCTTTTCAGTTAAAGCTATTTTTCGCCATCCCCCACTTTCACATTAACAGTAAGACATTTAGAATTTAAGAGTTCGGAATAACGAGATGGCGTCTCTTGTGCTATTGCGTATATATGTTACAGGTAGTGTCTGAAACCAGGGATTTCACGTAATCCCTAAAAGAGTCGTTTTTGTGCTGTAATAATAATTCATTTAACTATTCTAGTATCCGCAATCTTGAGTGTATATTTATGTTAAATTGTACATGATTGCATTCCCATGTACCACCGTGTGTGGGTTTTTAGAGAATAAAATGTTATGTTCTGTTCAGAGAACGCGTGAACAAACCTTTGAGGATACCGGATTTCACGCCTGTTCTATGTCATTAGCTTGGATTTGCGCTGACACTTAACGCAAAAAGTAAAAGGTAGTAATTAGCCAAGAGTGCCATCAGTAAATTGTCAAAGCTTTCAACTCCTACGAACTGAGGGATGAAATGAGACTCAACAGTAAAGTTGCAAGAAAATGACCTTGGCACCCCGACTCAAGGTATTTAATTAAGCCAAGAGTGCCATCAGTAAATTGTCAAAGTTTTCAACTCTTAAGAACTGCGGGATAAAATGAGTCTCAGCAGTAAAGTTTTAAGCTACAAACATTAATTTCACACTTTCACTGATATCCTAACGGGGAATGTGTGTAATGGAACACCATGAAAATCAGTAATTTCATGATATCCAATGAAATATTAGGGATTAAGTGAAATCCCTGGTTTCACACATTTCCTGTAACATATATGCGTAAAGACAAATGAAACACGAATTAGATACTTGATTGGCATTTTAGCAGACGCTATTTGATAAACATAAAGAATTTCCTGGTATCAAATAATAAAAAGAAGATGAAATCCAGGAAATTCTTAATGTTCATCAAATAGCATCATCTACAATGCCAATCAAGCATCTAATTCGTCAGTATCAAAGAGTAATAAGAAGATGAAATCCAAGAAATTATTTATGTTAAAATGAAACACATTCCAATTATTCCTGTCTGTCTGACACGTATCCTCACTTCCCCCCTCACAAACGTTCATAAAGTTAAACATTTTTTCCTACAGGTTTGTAGGTTTGAAAGTGTTTCGAGTGGAAATGAATTACCCATAAACATCACGTTAACGATATGCGCAGGGACATGTGCTATAGCATGGCTTGTGAAAAAGTACAACTCGTTAATTGTCTCAAGATATTAGTCCTGTAATGACTTTTGGGGGATCTTTAGATCTGTCGTTCATACACTGAATCTGCAGCTTATATTTATAACATTTTTTAAGGATCAATATGTTTCATCATTCAGTACCAGAATTTTACGCAGTAGTTTATAAGTGACAACTGTACCTCTGTTAATTCGATCAATCAAAGTTGTAACAGTTGAAGCGCAATAGGGTATCATTATATTATTCTAAAACGTACTGGTCATTACGTCATTCTGCACGTAACTGTCGAATCGAATGTCCATCATACTTCCGGTGGAGTCCTAGGTTAGATTATGACTTTAGGAAGCGATTGTACATCCTTAAACTATTTCTCAAGTATATAGAGATTACTTTTATTACCTTACTGTCAGAATACGATATGTGCGTAAGCCCTATAGTTGTTAGAACCGTCAAACAGCGTAGGGATGACAGGTTGTTTTATGGGTGCCGCCATCTTTGTTTACGAATCTCTCGCATGGTCACGTGGTCACTGCAGCGGGTGCATTTCGATTGTGACGTCATTGTAATTAAGTATAAAACGGAGACGCTACCGTAAAACTGCCTGCATTTTCCAGGAAGCATAAGCAGCTTTTCACCTAAATACGCAGGACACGATAACAAGTAAAGAGGTGAGGATGGCAGAACAGTTACCAGGACTTATAAGAATTAGTTTGGGGAATTTCTGATTAGGATTCAGTCAGTTGGTACTATGTAGGTAGTCACGATCGGGATGCACCGACTTTGAGTATTTTTTTCCAAGTGTCTTTTTAAGTGTATATATGTAAATATGGTATAGTATTAATAAATTATTATTGTTGTTGAAATACATCTTGTACGTTTTTATACAAAGTTTCTAGTTGTTGTTCCAAAAGTTTTGGAGTTATGGAAAGTATAAGTTTCGCGGGTTCAGAAACCAATGCTAAGTCTAGCCATTAGCAAACGTCAGCTAGCTAATTAATATGCAAGGGATATCGGGTCAGAGGTTAAAGGGCGGTCCTCCCCAGGAAATGACCAATCAGGAGCAAGTACTTTGTAATGACAATATGGCTGACGTTTGCTATGAGCTAGACGCGAAGCATAGAAGTCTTAATTTCAAGCGAATTACAACGAACACAATAGTTTACATATCACAAGTTAATTATCTTAAAACGTATTCCCTACATTTATCACTATTCAGCAATATATATTCTTGGAGGAACAAGCGAACTCATTAGTATAATGCAAATTAGGGGGCGGAATTTAGACATGTTTTGTAAACAAACTCGCGCTACCAGGTTATCAATGGGACTATGTAGATTCTACACTTGTACTTTCACATGCATAAGAGTACATGTTTTAGTGACTGAGCATCGAATAGCATACCCTCCCCTGTTTGGCGTTACATAGATTTTTGGTGGCAGCGGTGGGATGAATAATATTTGGAAAGTGATAATGTTTCGTGTTGTCTATTTTTAGATCGTTTCTTGCGGAGTATGTATTCCGTCAAGGGAGTTAGTTAGAAATATAAATGATATGTTGT